TCTTCTTTGAAGCTAACTGTTTTCCCATTCTCTTTCTGACATACAGACTTTTTGGTTTGGTTTGATTTGTTATGAATATTATAACACCCCCACGGCTGAAAGGGCAAATATTGTTGGCGTGATGGGGATTCGAACCCGCGACCTGCAGATTGCGAGTTGAGTGCCCTAACCACCTGGCCATGCCAGGCCGACTTTTTTGGATTTTGCTCTGTTTACTTTAGGCTGGTTGTCTTTATTATCTAGTCCATCCTTCTATGTTGTTGTTGTTATTGGAAGTCCAACCTCTGGTGGTTTAACCATCATGTAACCGGCAGGGATTTCGTGATCATATTGTTACGACAGCGGTAGTCACGTGACGCTGGTAACAAGTCATGATATTCTAGAAGGATCGGGGAACATCACGAATAATCCAGTATGTGCTAGGCACCCTCTATTCCTGTATATAAGTGCACCGGATAACGTGAGACAAATTAATCGGAATTGAATTGCAGGCAGGCAGAGATAAAGACGGACAATTGAGTCAAGCGTGGTAGTGACTGTAAGTAAGTGTGTGAATCATTGTGAATTATAGCATGTGTTTAAAGTGACTGGGGAAATTAAGTGTATTGCAAAGTTGAATTTAGAAAGAATAAACTAGTTTTATTTAAGAAAGGACTTGTATCTCTGAAGTTCCTCAGGAAGAATCTATACCGAGAAATTAACAAACAAACAGAGACATAACAATATATTGTGAAAATGTTAGAAGCAAGACAGACTTGACATCCATATTTGTGCAAGAAGTCTATTTTCAATATGCATTTTTTTAACTATCAATATCCTGACACATTCTGTGTAGAGGAATTTCCCATGGAGAGAGTGACCTCCAACTTTCCTCTTTCTGTAACTTTACGACCACTTGTAGTTTGCATCAATCCTTCTTCTTGTTGCATATCTTGATGAAATTTACCAATTTTCATTACTAGATCAGGTTGAATAATGGTAGCAAATTAGTGTCATTTAATGTGGTTTAAGGCTTCTCATTAATGTATCAGATAGCTCATGAACTGTTTCTTTTTATACACTGTACATCTTATATCCGTTGGAGCAGATGGACTATTGTTAATATCCTGATCATATCATATCCTTAGTTTATAATGAACAGCTATTCATCACAATCACAGATATGTCCATGGTTTCTACAGTTACATCAGTTTCCTTTTCCTATGATCCTTTCGGGGTAGTTTTTATTTCCTATAAACTTTCGTTTACAGTTTCTGACAATATGCTCTTTCAAGTTATAATTGAAATACATTCTATCATGTGATTTACTTCATTATGAGTAAAAAATTGTGTAATTAAAGGCCTTTTTGTGCAGTTTTTGGCAGTATTCTCTTAGAAGTTACAACTAAAATACCTGTGGTTTATTTTTTCCACTCTGAGTAAACAATTGTCCAATTAATCCTCTGAGTTTTTCTAGACCTCCATTAGAGGGAGCTGGTATCTCTACACTGACAATCCCATAATTCCTGGATGATATTTTTTTGTTGATCTGTGACTATAATCAATTCTAGTTCCATCACTAACTCAACAGCTTCCCTTAAAAATGTATACCTAGTTTCCTTTAATCTAACTTACCTTTTTTCATCCAGTAAGCATCTGTAAACTGATTGCATGCCAACAAATCCTAAAAATTCATCTAAAAAATCTAGATAATATAACTGGGCAAGCCTTTCAACATATTGAGCAAGTTCTGTTAAGATTTTGTCTGTTCCCAAATTTTGTTTTAGAAACTACCTTCTCATGTAATACCTCAATAAGGAATCCACTAATGGCTGATAGTTCTCTGTTGAAAAGTTGACTAATCTTGTTAGATCTGGCCCCTGTGCAGCAAGATGAATAGCCTGCTGTTCACTAATCCATTTTGGAAATTATCTCAAATTTTGCATTATTTGCTTCTCATGATACCTTTCCATTATATTCAGTTGCCAATGTTTATCAACTGACCTGCTAAATTATCTTAATTTGAATAAGTATGTTATATTAAAAATATTTTAAGTATCTAAATCACGAATTTACATGACAACTGCAACAAATTTAATGTCATGGTGGAATGACATGTATCAGAAGTTCAAATCTTCATTTTGACATTGGTAGTATGTAGGTAGTGCAATGCCACTGAGAATTGACCACTTTTGGGGAGTGTATATAACAGCCCTTCCAATCTAAAATATTCATACACTCAAACCATAAAAATGTGTTAATATTAAAGATTTATAATTTCTGAACATGGGGATGATCTTTATATTTAATGATATTGGAAAACTAAAAATTATAAATAAAGTTTGGATACAAGTACCATCCATAAAGAGACCTGCAACAACTTTTGCTTTCTTGAATTTCACACAAAACTACTCTAGGGATATCTGTGTTAGTTGTGACTAAGTTAGAAGAGATAGACGAGAGGGAAAGCAGCTAGTCAACAACACCAACTCCCAACTCTTGGGCTACTCTTTACCAATCTATAGTGGGGTAGACTGTCAATTATAATGCCTCCCCCCAAGGCTGAAAAGGTGAGAATGTTTCTACTCTTTACCAATCTATAGTGGGGTAGACTGTCAATTATAATGCCTCCCCCAAAGGCTGAAAAGGTGAGAATGTTTATCTTGAACAACTGCCATCATTTTGAAATTGAATTTGGATTTGGATTTATTGTTTAAAAGTTAGAAATCATAAGCAAAGCGTGGTTGTTGTAATAGGTGAGAATCCACAAACAGAAAGTTCAGTGGTTAAAGCTACCTATGTGTTCTAAGTAATAGTACACAACATAATCAAGAAGGATCTTTGCCTTGAAAAACTACACAAGTGTGCACACAGGTTGATTCTATGATATATCTACTCAATCATTGTATACCTCAAGCAGCTGGAGAATTAGTTGGATAATAATACAATTCCAAATGAAGACATACCAGTCAAGTCACCTGATACAGTACCTGTGAATTTCAGTATGATTGGACTGTTAACCTGATGGACCAACCCTGTATTGTAAAAGTAATGTTCACTATAATTCCAAATTTATGTGGCAAGCTTTTAGTAAACAGTATAACTCTGTTGTATGCAAAAAATCAGATGTGTTATAAAGGTTTTGTATTAAAGATATGTCTGTGAAATGCCAAAGTCAGTCTGATTCAGACTTTGCCAATTTGGCATGGAAGGTGATGTTCATGTGAAGAATAAACAAATTTTTTTTCTATTGTACAGTTTACAAATTACATTTTTCTAAATGCATATCTAAAGTTTTTTCATATATTTTGTCTCTTATTTTCTCTACTCTAATACTAGTTATTACATCATCAGCAATGTAGGGTAACATGAAATTGTGGGAACTCTGACATCATTTGCATTATACAGTATTGAATGTCACTCTGTATGAGATCAGAATATACACACTTTGATCCCCACCCATGCACATAGGTTTAAATTGGTGCTAAGAAACTGTCATTCTCATATCTTAAATGCATTATGGACAACAAATTGGGAAGAATGATGTGCTTTGGGTATGACAGTCTTACAATGTATCTTTTTTTTTGCAAGGAAAACTACACTGCAAGGCCATTGTCAACATGTATGGTCATTAGACAGAGCATAGCCAGATGTGGCAACATGGTCATAATGACATGATGATGCTCCAAAATTGACTTATTATAGCATACTCAACCTCTATAGTTATGTAACTGGTGTGGCTATCATAGGGACACCACAGCAGTGGTAACAAGTGTAGACAGATGTGTTCTTCTCTCCACAGTTAATGGTGTTTTAGGTTGAAAATCTTGAGAAGATGCATAGAGAAGTGTGATAGGTTTGATCTTTGCATTTCCTATGGCTTGTTACATCTTGATGTTCTAATCCTTCTGTAAATTTCCTTTAGATTCCTTGATCTTGGCTTAAATGAAGTTGATTTGTGTTTGTAACTGTTCTGTAAATCTTATATTTCATTTGTGTAATTCATCCCTTCAATTACTCTTTCTTTCTCATCCATTGTCTTTTAATTTTATGCCCCTTTCTGATCTTTAAATTTTGTATCTTTTTCTAATCTTCTTTCCACTTTTAATCATTTCTGTAGTGTTTTCAATTTTGTCTTGAGTAGGTGTCATCGTCTTGAAGTTGGATCTGGATCTTTATTTTATTGTATTCAAATAATCTCTCTCCTTATATCATCATCATAATGGTTTCTGCTGTTAGCCATTTCCCTTTTAATTGGTTAAAAAAAGGGAAATTTAAATCCACTTAACAGTAACAAAAAGTTGCTCTCCTTCAACTTCAAGCTCCATGGTTAGGTTCACCAAGATACCTAACTGCACAAATTAACTATGTCTCATAGAAATTCCACTTCATTGCTAATTTTGTATCTCTACTTCTTTGTTGAATTGCATATAAATCAATATCCATAGCACTAAACTAACAAACTGGCTGACAGTAACTGATTAACTAATTAAATTATGTACTTATCACTCATTACCTGGTTAAAAAACTTGCTAATTCATTCTAATATACTTGTTCACACACACTAGCATAGCTCAATTTTTATATAAACTAATCTTTTCTTAAACATTGGAGAAAGTTTCAGATATTAAGACCTTGACCATCACAGTACATTTATACTTTCTTTGGGGCTTACAACAATATATCAAGAAATTTGTAGCTGAGAATAACATAGGCCACAAGACTATTTTAGTTAAAATATTTTAGGTGCATATTGATGTATACAAATACATTATCTTTAAGGTTACAGTATTGGGCCAAATAATTTCATGCTAAATCTGACATGTTTAACTTGCTAACTTTCCAGATTCTTCAGTGTATAAGGTGAATACAAGTTCAAAAATATTTAAACTGACAGACATTCCAGTTAAATGTTTATTATGGAAAAATCTTTTTCTCTTTTAGTTAACATCAATGCTAAGATATTCTATCTGTATGGTTAAACTGCTTATTCTTCAAGTTCTAACAGGTATATTTCCATAATGAACTCTGATAAACTGGACAAAATAACATTTATCCATGTAGGAAAACCAAGATTTCATCCCGATGAGGTTAGAGCAACAGGTAATCAAATAATTCAAGACCAAAGATCCTCATCATTCAAATCATCCAGACAAAAAGCACAAGGATCAGAAAAAAGGGATACTTCAAAAGCTTTACAAAAAGCCTTTCAGAATAATCCATATTATAAGGTGAAGTGATTTTAGTATACAGATCATATGTTGACTAAGTAACTTAATAACTTCAATCCTTTTATTATAGTTGTTGGAAAATGTTGCTTAAAACAACTAAACTTTGAATGAGGGCAAGAATAATAGAGCATGTTGTCTTTTTTTATATAGTAAATATACGTCTTCATTGTTTTTCTTATATTAATACTGTAAGAAATATTATAGTCCATCAGAGTTAAACGGGTTAGCTAATTTTGATGTATCACAAATAATTTGGCTCCCCAGCCAATAATTTAATTAAGACTTATTTTTTTTCTTTTGTACTTATAATGTATTATTGCTATCACTAAACTTGTAAGTATTCATAAAGCATTATGTATTAAATAAACATAAATGATTATAAAGGTAGTATTGTACATATTTCACAAAACACCTTAAGTATGGGTTTTGTTCTGCTAATTACAAGTTTTGTTTGTTTGTAGTTAAGCACAACGATATACTATGAGGTATCTGTGCTGTACCCATCAAGAGTATCAAAACCAAGTTTTTAGTGTTATAAGTGTGCAGACTTACAATGGCACAGCTACAGTTTTAATCTGGAATTGTATCTTTTCAAAAAATTAAAACCAGACAGCATTACTGTTATTAGTTTTAATATGTGCAATTTCATTGTTGCAACAATACCTAAGACTGATTAATGTTGTTGATAACAACTCAACAATGTACAAGACTAATGAGGTACAGGAGATACTGACTTAGTATACAGCATGTTCTTTTCCAAATGTTCAGTATTTTGTTTATAAGTTAACATTTTCTTAAATTGAAAATGTATTTCCAATAATACTTGCCTCCCCTCACACTACAGCTGTTACTCGACTGCTAGGGTTTCCTTCCTTTGCCCATCTAATCATTGGTCTGATTTTTTTCTCACTTGATCCAGTCTTTTATTTCCCACTTAATTGCCCATGGCGATATATGTCTCATGACACTCTCCAATGCACCCTCTATCCTGGTATTATATATAAGCACCTCATTCATTTAATATTATCACTTTTTCAAGACTGACCCAATCTGCAGTCTCTAACACCTGCTCTTAGTGGGGAGGAAAGGCAGGAGAATTGGAATTATTTGGACCATGGTCCTTAAATACCACTAGGGCATTTGGACTGCAATATATATATACATACTTATGAGTGTATCCCAACCTGTAGCTATAGAGTGATGCATTCCAAGCCATCAGAATCATGACGAGAAAGTAAGCAACACCGAAGTGGACATACCTTCTCCTCAACCTGAAGAAGTCAAAAAGGCAACACCCCAAACTTGGAATGATAGGATCCTCTATGCCATACTCAACCTGAAGAAACAGAACTCATCCAGTCTAGAATTATGAACACTCATCCTCACTCCCCAACCATGTAGATAAGGTAAATTCCCCTTGTCCCCAGAATTATGGAGAAGACATGAAACAAATTGTGCTCAACCAAGGACCTAGGATAAGACCACTCTGCATTCGGGATTAAGGTGAGACAATGAACCCTTTTCCATGAACAATGTACTGAACCAGTATTGATCAAAAAGAAGGGTCATGCTCAACCCAACTGGATAGCTGAGCTTCAAGTCTGAACTGGTATTATGAGTCGGCTCCCACGTAAGTTGGTGCCTCTCCTACCAGCATCTATGATAAAAAAAACATCCAGGGTCTCATGTAGAAGGGCCCCCGACTTTGCCCTCTACTCCGAGAGTGGAAGAACTTCACTTGAACACTCTGGAGAAACAAACTTTGTCCACCAGCCCAGTGACTGGAAACTGGGTGGTAAGGACTCCTTAGCCCCACTAGTAGAATATGGAAGCCCTGAGAAACAATGCAATAGATGAACCAAGTTCCCTAAATTTTTAGAAGCAAACCAACCCCAATTTATTCAATCCAACAATCGGTAGGAACAGGCAGAATCCCCTTATGCTTTACTCGTGACAGTTTATGAGTGTCAGTCCAGCATAATACAGTAATACCACACAGACTGCCCTCTAGGTATTCCTATGGAACACCACATTTCTACAGAGCCTGTGGCAACCTAGATAAAGTATATTGTGTTACTGGTTGCTTGTGTGGAATTGATTTGATAAAAGCACACCTGCTTGGGCAACACTTGCCACAGAGTGGGATCCTGTGAAGAAAGGTAAGGGACCTTGGAAAGTAAAGAGATAATATTAGGAATGAAGATACTCACACCTTATAATCTAGCAGATGTGCACGCAACATAATATTTCAAGGCCCTCACTGGACATAACAAACAGTTGGGATCCAATCGGTCATAGAAGTGAGAAATAGCAGTCAGATGAAACGATGAAAAATATTTATCCCCTTTCCTGGCTGCCAGTGTCTTAGGTAAGAAGAACCTGTCTAGGTACAGGAGGATGTAGGTAGAATGATAAAGTGTCCTGTGCACATGCAGTTCAAACAACTCCAACTGGCGATATCTGCAGGCCAGCAGCAACCAAAAATAAACCTTAAGAGAAAGGTGATACAGGGTATATGAGGCTAAGGGCTCAAATTGATGTTGAGAAAGAGCATGTAATACCAGCTTACTATCCCAGTCAGGTAACTGAAACTGTTGTTTAGGATGAAGGACCCGGAATGACTTGAGGATGCAGGAAAGCCCTGGAAACTCAAATAATTTTTGTCTCAGGTATCTAAAGGTAGTCAATAAGACTGCCTTATATAAGGCGATTGTGAAAGATGTAAAACCCTTGTCATAAAGCCAGGTCAAAAAAACGAGTTATGGTTGGCACATATGGACAAAGTGGGTTCAACCTCCTCCTAATATAATACATCATTGTCAGTATCTGTGCCATTTCCATTGATAAATGTCCATTGTGTGACTATGCAAAGACTGAGACAAATATATGGCAACCTAAGAAGTTAAACCCCAAAGCTGTGCAAATGACCACATAATCTCCATGCATGAAGCTTGAGCTTCAGGATGGCTGGGTGTACTATGTTGGACCATGGCTGCTTCAACAAAAATGGCCAAAGAGGATGTGGAAGAGGTGAAGGCACTGCAGAAGTGGAAACCAGCCTGCCAATCTGATGCTATCAACAGAACCCAACAGGGGGGTTGAACGAATTATAGCAAGTACTCTGTGTAATATGTGAGTCTGTGGAAAGACATAGAAGTGCAGTCCTGTCCAGTCCTGACTGAATGCATCTATTGCCAATGCCTGAGGGTGAGGTACTGGAGACCAAAATGCTGGTAGTTGAGTGTCCTGAACCAAGAGCAAATTGAACAGAAAACCTCATGATGCAGCATCCATTCTGTTGGGAAAATCTGGTTGGGTTTAAGACAGTTGACCTCCCACCACATTCACCACACTCAGAACTAGTAAGATGATATGTTGGGAGTGGACCAAATAAAGCAAATCCAAGGTTCGAAAAAAGGGACCAGGACCAAGTGCCTCCTTGATTGGAAATGAAAAAACCCACCATGGAATTGCCAAAATGAAGTATAAGGATATTTCCCCTTAATAAGTCGAGACCTTGAGATATCACCCTTTGAACAGCAAGAAGTTCTAAAACATTGTGTAGGGAAGCCTCATCACCAGTCCATAGACCATAGAATTCCTGACCATTGAGATATGCACTCCAAACTCTGAAGCGAGGCATCTGTGAAGAGATGGATCTGTGGACGAGGTGGTGGCAGAGAAACACCTATCGTAGTATTGTTCCAATCTAACCACCACTCAACATGAAAGATATTGATCCTGAATAAGGAGACTGGGGAGTCCAGTGGATTACTGATTATGATCCATTGGTCATGTAGAGATCACTGAAGGGATGTCATGTACACCTATCCTAAAGGAATGAGGGATTCAAGTGATGCCCACATCCCCAAAAGGGAAAGAACCATCTGCACAGTGGAAGAAGGAGAGGTAAGAGTTGGATTGCCTGTTCCATCTCTTGAAGCCGGACAGAGTTAGCCGAGCCTGACTGAGATATGTGTTGAAAAAGACATCCAGATGGATAATATATTGTGGTGGATTGTGAGTAGATTTCTTGGCTCTGATAATAAAACTTACTTTGGTTGCTTCTGAAAGTAGAAAATGGGTGTGATGTTCTGCCAACTGACAGTACAGTGCCAGCAGTAACCAGTCATCCATGTAATAGTGTGTGCACATGCCTAGGGAATGAAGGGGACAAAAAAACGCTTGTACAATATGGCAGAACACATATGGTGCTGATGCTAGTCTGAAGGGCAGAGTCCTAAATTGCAACACCTGACCCTTGTGCACAAAATGCAGATAGTGGCGGGACAACTCTGCTATGGGAATGTGCAGAGAGGCATCAGTAACATTGAACTTGGTCATCCACAATCCTTGTAAAAAATGGCAATGCAGAGTGAGGAATGACTCCATTGTGAACCTTGGAGGATCTAGAAATTGATTTAGATGTGAAAGATGGATGACTTGAAAACACCAATGTCCTGTCTTCTTGGGCACAACAAACAGATGGGAATAAAACCCTGGAAGAACTGGGATGGCTCTCTCCGCTGCCCCTTGACCACAAATCTCTAATAGCCCTGGAATGCAGCTATGAAAACCGAGGATCTGTAGGAGGCAGAAACATTACAGGTTGGGTGAATAATGGTGGTGAAGATGTGAACTGAATGACTAATCCTGATGCATGGACCTGTAGTACCCATGTATCCATGGTACAGCTTTTCCACACATCCAAAGATTCTTGAAGCAGAGCGCTCACAGACTCCAAAGGCATATGGTAGTCACCATCGACACTAGTGGCATTTCCAACTAAATGAAGGAATCTCGTAGATATGGATGGAATCTATTCTGGGTACCAATGGACTGAGGGGCTGATATTGGGAGTTGGAACACTCGAATAGAGGTCAAACTATGACCCTCTGTGATCTGAGGAAAGTTGAGAGGCCAACAACAACAGGGATGAATGCAGACAAGTGACATCAACCCTTGACTCTGGAATGCCCTCAAAAATCAAGGGTTAGAGAAAGGGGGCCTCACATAACACACAGAGGGTGGCAACCAGTAGATGAATGCCCTCCAACGCATCTCTACCCCACAAATCTCGATAATATACGAGCCAAAAGACTAGGGAAAGTACAGAAACTGAAAATCAAACCAAGGTAGAAGTTAACAATGGTCCCAACTCGTCATCAAGTTAATGTGGCGATCACTGAGAGGCATCTGACAAAAGTTGGAGGGATGAGAAATATCTTAGCACCATAGTTAGGGTCAGATAAATCCTAGAAAAGTGTGATTTATTTAGTTTGACCACAGACTCCATTCTGGAACCCCAAATTTCCTGGAGCAGGTCTATTCTTTGAGAGTCTAAATACTCGTCCACCTGGCGGTGGTAGGCTAAAGCATGTTGTTCTGACAAACATGGTGGACAAGGCATAGCTGTTCATTCATGTAACTGAGCAATAAACCTCCCTGCATGAATCACAATATCAGGGGATGGAGGGAGGACTAAGTATTTGCCCTCAGACCTTACTGCCATCAAGGAAGGTGCAGACTCAAAAGCAACTGGGGATAGACCAAAAACATTACACACTCAAGTTACCAACTGAAGAAAAGGAACCAGAGGTGGCTGATCCCAAGTTGGTCTCCTGAGAAGCAGAAAGAATTAAGGAAGGTGCTGGAAAGAGTGAATTTAATTTCTCTCCAGACTGTCCAAGATCACCCACAAATGCAACCTCGGACCCTCCTGGAAAAATACCACTAGATAGAATATATGTCTCTATCTCACTATGAATAAGGTCACAGACAGCCTCAACTGAGAGTGACTCCCCTACCCCGACTGTTTAGTAACACTATATATCAGAGGTGGGAAAGGAGAGAATTGATTTGACTCCATGCCAGAAACAATAAACCAGGAATTCATGCTGTATATTGGTTTGCTAAATGAAAAGAAAATTGTTTCTGTTTTGATGAAAAACAACTAGGAAACACGAATCACTATCAAAGTTTCTCCAACAGTTCTAGTTTAAAGAAATCCATTAGTGAACACTTTGTCAGGAAAAAGTGGTAATATTGTCTGAATGAGGTGCATATATATATAGTACCAGGAGAGAGGACACATTGACACAAGTGGAGAGTGTCACAAGACAGATATTGCCAAGGGCAATTAAGTGGGGAATAAAAGATTGGAGTGAACAAGAAAAAATCAGACCAATGCTTAGATGGGGAAAAGAAGGAAACCCTAGCAGTCCAATAATAGCTGTAGGAGGTAAGTATGTTGTTGAATTTGCATTTTATCTAGACTAACAATACATTAAAGCCTATTTCTGTTAAAATATCATTCTCTTGTTTGCAATTTTTTTATGTTAATAGTTGTTTTTTGACTTAAAAATTGAGAAGTGCTTTTACTGCATTGGTTCTTAATGTTGCTGTATTTTCTTCCCTAATCTCTTTTATTTTTTCTGAACCATTCAGAACCGCAGTTACAAATAATTGCAGCATTCTTATATTATATTGTGCTGATACTTTCATCTTTATACTTTATTGCTTTACAGTATCACCAAAAATATAACCCTGACCTAGTAGGAGACGACCAGCAAGAACTGGCCTCTCATCTTCGTGCAAGAAGAAACCGAACCAGACGTCTAACTCTATCTGCTTTAAGCAGAGGACTGAAGAGTAATGCTTCATCTGTTAATGATATTGATTATCGTAGTAGCAGTGAGCCAGGTAGTATATCCCAAGTGATTGAACCTCAACATCAACCACTTAATACCTCATTGTTTTATCAATCACTTACAGATGACCCTTTATTTGATAGTGCAACAAATATATTTTTAGAAAGGGCGCAAAGACGAAGATCAATCATGAGTGGAAAATCAACATATGGACTTGAACATTCTGCATCCACTGATGTTTCATCACCTACCACAGCAAACCACAGTGCACGCTTAGAACGACAGCAAGCTCTCTCAGGTAGCAGAGAAAGCATTAGTGAAGACCATCTTGCAGCAATTTTTGAAATCATTAAAGAAGAATTAGAACCTACTGATGGAAGTATTAATGATTCTGAAAACCATAAGGGACGAACAGTTCGAATAGTAACTCCAGTTACTCCTGATAAAACAGATGACACACTTTTTTGAGTTAATAACCTATCATTAATATTATTTAGATAATTATGTGTGATATCTCTTTTTATGGTAACAATATTGAAGACTTTTTTTTTCACTTCCACTCAGCATACTTCATTGGAAAATCTTATATTATCAACATAGAAAAAATTCTAAATTAATATTTTCCATATGTGACATTATCATACATTAATCAAAATTAAAGATTGAATAATCAGTGTAATAATGAAGTAAAATTTAAATATTCCATGTCATTATGACCTAATGGTATAAACACGGAGGATTTCTTTGCCTAGGTAGTCTTTGCAATCATGACCTAATAATAAGAACATTGAGGATATTATTTTTTAGATATTCTGTGACATCTTCATATCAGTAAGGACACTGAAGATGTCCTTTATTATCGTGACCTAATAATGAAAACATTAAGGGTTCATTTACCCAAAAATTTCTGTCTTTATGGTTTCACTAAAAAAACATTTAGGATCTATTTATTTACATATTATATGTCACCAGGACACATAAGCAGTGGCATTTCCAGGATTTTTCATGGGGGTGAAAGAAGCAGCAAAAACTTAGTTACAGAATGGAGTTCAAATGTTATTAAAACAAATTAAGCAGGCTTTTTTGCCTTTAAGAAGTATCTATTTATTCTGTTTAATTATCAAAAAATCCAAAATTACATCAAGCTCTCTTTGCACTGTTTCAAGGCATTCTGATTCTGTTTCAAACTACCATTAACTCTTCCCCACCCCAAGATCTCATCTGATTGGAGATACTTCATATGGGCAAAGAAATTAACACTTTCATGTCAGTTGGAGTTACAATGTAGAGAGAATATAAAAACCCTACAAGACTATATTATGATATCACAGATGGGGGGGGGGGGGGCTCCTCAATGGGAGACCTACTTTCCCTCTCCATTCTGGTAAACATGCCACTGACAATAAAAACATTGTGAATTTATTGTTGGTTTACAAATTCTGTTGTCATAACCTAATAATAAGAATATTGAGGATTTTGTTTTTACTTAGGTTTGTTATTTAATCATAACTTACCAATAATTGCATATAGGACTTTTCTGGCTGAATAGGCCATGATTACAACAGGGATTTAAATCATTTTCTGTTTACATATTTTATATGATCATAATTTTAGAATACAAATGAATTATGTGATATAAAAAATAAAGAAGATTTCTTCGTCTACTTAGTGTGTACAGCATGGCCTCTTAAAAAGAATATTGAGGCTTTTTGTTTGAAAACTCTTAAGACAATTTTGAAAATTTAATCTACCATTTTTTTTATGAATTTCTTCAGTTATTTTCTGATCAGCTGAACTCCTAATTATGAAATTCATAACCATGAACACTTATCAGTTGTGTTAGCATTTAACTAGTATTTTTGCTGTGTACAGAGATTCAGATCTTCCACTGATGTGCAAAAACAGCATCCTTGTCTATCTCATTATTAATGTTATTCTAGAACATGCATTCATGGGTAATTTTACAGAGATCATTGAAATGAATATCTTACGATTTATTTTTATTCCGTTGGGTCAGTGAATACAATTAACATCTAGTACTAAACTGCTAAGTTTATTTTAATCATACCAGCTGCAACTGGAGTGTTTCTATCAAAATAGATTCCCTTCATTGATAGCAAGATAACGCCAGTGATTCACTTTCCCCTGGTCTCTCCTACTGTCTTTGTGCAACATAAAATATCCAATTTCAGTATGAGGCCTGTGAGAAAAGTATCCGACCTTTGGCCAGGGAATAAAAACTGGCATACCTGGAGCGTTGGAA